CTCTAGACATTTTACAGAGCTCCTCTGTGGTTATTTTTAGAGAGTTCCATACCCAGCACCACAGGAGGTGCCAACCACAGAACCAGGCATGGTGACACATATCTGTAATCCCTGCACGAAGGGAGGCTGAGACAAGAGGATCACTATGAGTCTGAACTGCATAGTGAGATCTTGTATCAAGAAAAAGTAAAATAAATAAATAGACAAATAAAAACCAAACAAACAAACAAAAAAGCTTCTTATTAGCTGGGGAGATGGCTAAATGGAATAAGCGCTTCCCTGCCAAGTGCAAGGGCCTGAGTTCAATCCCCGGTTCCACAAAAAAAAGAAAAAAGAAAGAAAGAAGAAAGAAAGGAAAGAAGAAAGAAGAAAGAAGAAAGAAAGAAAGAAAGAAAGAAAGGAAAGAAAGAAAGAAAGAAGAAAGAGAAAGAAAGAAAGAAAGAAAGAAAGAAAGAAGAAAGAAAGAAAGAAAAAAGTAAGCTTTTGGTTATTTTTATGTCTCTTTGGGAAAATAAGGGTTTGAAGCACCCTATTCCAACATTTTTCAGCGTCTTTTATTTTCAGAGAGCTCATGTTTGAGTGAACAGTTGAATATGGAAAAGAAACAAGCCCTAGATTGGAGATACAAAGGGAGGGCCAGAGAAAAAAGAGGGAGATGCCTGGTTCTCCTGAGAGTAATCTAGAAGGGTTGCTAGAGGAGGAATCATTTAGCTGAGTTCCAATGACATTGCACAGAAAGTAATCTACAGATAAAGAGGCAGAAACTTAAGAAGGTAGAAATGCTTAAAAAATTAGAATTTGAGAAATGGAGAATGTAAGAATTATGAAGACATCAATTTAAAGATAACCTTTCTGCCAAGCCAAGCACATATATTGCCTCTCCTCATCTGTAGCTTTACTGTCTTCACTTTTAATTACCTGTGGTCAATACATCTGAAATGATCAAAGGAAAATTCCAGAAATGAGCACTTTGTTTTAAGTTGTGTGCTATTCTGAATAATGTGATAAGATCTCACACCACCCGCTCCACTTAGTTTAGGAAAGGATTCATCGTTTTGCCTATTGTATCCATTCTGTGTGCACCACCTAATTACTAGTCTCTTAGTAGCCCTCTCAGTTGTCTGTCTGAGTCTTGTGGTATTCTAAAGCTTTTGTCCCATGACCTTTATTTTACTTAATAATGGCTCTCCAATTCAATAGTAGGGATGCTTCTAGTTCAGATATGCCAAGAAGAAGTCATAAACTGCCACCTTTAAATGAAAAGGAAAAAATTTTCAGTGAGGTAAGGAAATAAAATTATATATTAAGGTTGCTAAAATCTATGGTCAGAATAAATGTCTTCAGGAAATTGTAAAGAAATAAATTCATGCTAGTTTCGCTGTCATATCTAAAACTGAAAGATTTGTGGATGCAATGCATGACACATGCTTAAGTAGGAAACAATACATTTGTGGGTGGAAGACATGAACAGAAATACATTTCAAATGACAGCAACTTGTTACACCAAAAATCACTGAGCCCATACAAAGACTTCAAGAAGGGAAATGAGGGACACCAAGTCATATAAGAGATTGCCACACAAAATCAGAGACAAATTTATACTGAAAAATATACAAATAATGGGTAGGCTGATGAAGAAGCTCATGCCACATTTCCAGCAGAGTTAAGAAATTGACTTAGGACAAAAGATGCCATCCAAAGCAAATCTTCATTTGAATGAAGTAGACTCTTCTGGAATAAGATACCCAGTGGAACTTACATTCATTAAAGTGAAGAGTCACCCCAGAATAAAATGGGAAAGGATGAATTAATTCTGTTACTGTGTCAAAACTGCAGAGCATATGATAAAGACAGCGGTAGTTTACAAAGCAAAGATCACATGTGCCCTCAAAAACAAAAGCAAAATTATCTGATCTTCTAGCACCACTATCAGAAAATGCAGGTTTTAGCAGTCTTTTTTAATGAAATGGTTCCACTGCTGTTTACTCTGGAAGTTAGTGGATACCTAAAAGAGGAAAGTTTGGAATTTAAAGCTCTGTTAGTGATATAACATGCACCTGGACATTTCAAATCTGTTTTCTATGAAAATGAAAATGCCAAGGTTATATTTTTACTTCATAATATAACTTCATTGCTATAGTACCTTAACTAGAGTATTATTCTATTCATTAAGGCCATATGCATCCATCTGGTATTTAATGATATTTAACCAGCAATTGATCAGATCCTAATTGGAGTATAATGCAGTGGAAATATAAGTGGAGTATAATTGGTGGAAATCATTCATGACTACAGACACAAAAATATCCATCAATGCTTCAATGGATGAATATAAACAAGAAACTATAAATGGCTGCTAGGAGAATTTAGATTTAAGCCATGAATGGTTTAAAGGCTTCCTAGGTAGTGTCGGAAAAGTTATGAAAATTATTCACACATCAAGATGGGTTGGTGGTAAGGATTTAAAGACTTGCTTAATGAAGAAGTAGAAGAACATAGTTAAGGCCACTGAGAATTGTTAACAATTTAAGACTTGGGAGAACTTGGGGAGTCCTATGTAGAGGAAAAAGGAAAGGAAAATGAAACAGTACCAGTGATGCAGGCATTTCTGAAATTTGCCCACATGCTTCAAGAAGCATAGATAGAATAGGGCAAAATTATTGTACATGATGTTCAGCATTAAATGCACCTACATGACCACTAAGGGATTTCAAGATCTGTAGCAACACTTTGATGAATTAAAAACAAATTCCAATGTAATGTATTCCCAGAGTTGGGGGACAAAAAAACCTTCAAACTCAGCCACTGACATTGCTACAATCCAGCCATCAACATTATTGAGATTTGAGCTAGCATCACTAGAAATGGATGATCCTCCTGCTGACATCACTGGAAGGTCAATAGCAGACTAACAATATAGCACAATGCCTACATCAGTCTTCTCACCTCATATAATTACACAGATATGGCATTTCACTTCATAAGAAGAGCAGTGAATGTAGTACAATAAGGTCTTTTGAGAGAGCTGGAGAGAGAGGGAAAGAGGGAAAGAAACAGAGACAGAGACAGGAAGACAGAGACAGGCAGAACACTTCCATTACATTTTTATAGTGTGGTCAGAATTGTTTCTATTTGTTATTAGTTACTAATCTTACTGTGGCTAACTTCCTAAGCATCAGAAGATGCATAGAAAAAAAAAGTATGCTTCCAATGAATTGCCTGTTTTTATCTTTTATCGACTAGTCTGTTGTGCCATATTTTTCTTATGGATTGGTAGGAGTTTTCAAAAATATTTTATACCCTAATCTTTCATCTGCTTTATGTCACCAATAGCTTTTTTAGACTGTGGTTTATCACATAAGTTTGTTTATGATGTTATTAATTTTTATGGATACACATTTATCAATCTTCTCCTTTTCGGTTTATCTTTGCAAGGCCTTAAAAGCCTTGCTGACTCCCACTGTCATTGACACAGTCCTTGTGTATTCTATCGTTTTGGTTTTTTTAAGACTTGAAATTGAGGTGTCATTGGGAAATCCAAATTGAAAAGAGTCAAAAACTGTAATGGGAGTATAAACTTAGGGTTCTTTGGACTGGAGGAGATGTTTACAACTAGAGGCAGAAGAGGGTCCAGAGAAAGTCTGTAAAACTGCAAAGGAAGTGGTGAGAGACACAGATCTGAGGAGCAGATATTAGTAGACCTGGTTGAACACCACACTATTCAGGACACCTAGAAGGGGTGGCCCAAGAAGTAGGAGAAAACCTAGGGAATGAAGGAAGGCAAGCGTTAGTGGGGCTTGAGTAGCCACTGGTGTCAGTGATGCCATCCTCAAACCTAAATTGCCATAATTAAGTATATCCTTTTTCAAGGAGATATACTTTTTCAGACAAAGGGGTCTGACCCACTTTTACATCCTAGCACTAGAGGATTTGCCTGCCCACAATGGCATTCACCCATTCTTCCATTCAAAAGAATTTACAAATCTACCAATTAATAGCAAAAAGCTTACTATCAGAATAAATTTTGAAGTCTCCTTCTTTCTATTGAACCTTGATATCAAAATAAAGCTCAAACCCAAACATCTTGAAGACTGTTTTACTCGGTCACATGAAGTGGGTGGGCTGGCTCCGTGGTGCCCTTCCTTTTGATGTCAACTTGGAAAGATCAAGGTGGCACCTGTGAAGGTGCCAGGAACTGGAGGAGAAATATGGCCTTTCTCTATAAAACCCAGGTGACTCCAGAGGAATCCAGAATGTGTCCACACATGCCCTTAGTTCTTTACTTGACCTTTTACTACCTAGTAGGCTTGATAATGGCCATTGTTCTCCTGATGTTATTTTGTGGATTTATGATGTACCTATTCTTGAACTGTCACTCTATAAATTGTCTGTAAAATCTTATCCATGGAGTAAAGGAATGGAATTATTCATAGCATAATTTCTACTTCAGCTCATGGTGAAAGTACTCACTTGGGGTATAATTAAGTTCTAGGCAAACTGGCTTGAATGCGGATAAAGGTGGAAGGAAATAGTTGTATGTCACAATCTGGATGCTTCCTGGTGTTTGACAAGCACCTGGTGTGTCAGTTCACAGATGGAGGAGAAATCAGGGTCTTGGTAAAGAGGTGAGAGGTCCTTCCCACCCACACAAGGGGAGTTAGAGAATGACTAACTAGAAAGCAAATAAATAAGCACAGTTTAAAATGTTAGAAGCAAAAATAAATAGGATAACAATAAGAGATCTAGTGAATAAGGAATAAAGCTAAAGCCTAAGAGACACAAAAGCAGTTAAAAGAGAGGTCAGGTGGTTTGACTGCGGCACAAGGCATGCATATGTCAGAGCAGGACTGACACCCAGCAGGGCAAGACTGGCACCTATGTGTGGCAATCTGGACCAAGGGGCTTGGTAGCAGGTCCCTCAGCTACCAGCCTGTCCTGCAGTGACTGTGTGTGGGATGTGGCCTGGTCATATCCACGCTAACAAAATGCAAACACTCACATGTTGCAGACAAAGTAAAATTTATTGAGACAGACAGAAATGCACCTACTCAGGACTACAATTAAGCATTTGCTATAAACCAAAGAGTTGTGTTCACATTCCAGGTAAGTCTACATGGAAAAGCATTCAGAATACTAGTTTTTCTACATCACTATTTCATCTACAATAGGGACAACAAACAGACACTCTGGATTTGATGGGCTCTCATTACAAGGCTACACATTGAACAGGGACAAACATCATTGACTTTGAGAAAAAGGTATAAAAAGACCAAAACCACCCACTGCAGGAAGGGTTTTTGGATGTTACTGTACAGTGTGGTCGAGGTAAACCAAAATCAAATGCAAATGGCATCCTGGGGGAGCATGGGGGCAGACCTGGGCAGATACATCATTTCCTGCTATGGGAGGAAATGGGCATGACTATACACAACCTCAAATTCAGTAGTAAGGTTTTCCCATGCCTAGAACATTTGTAGACATTAATATGGGAGAGAAATAACAATGGTGCAATAAAAATCCTTGGATTTAACTTGGATGCCACAGTAATGGTATGAAAGGAGAAGTTAAAGGATAAGAAACTCTTCACTAAAGAATTTCTAAAATCAAGTTAGGATAGAACTCAATACCTACCTCAAACAAAGGATGGGCTTATTACAAGACTATTTTCTTTCTTTATGAAAGTCAATATCTTATTGTATACTTGGTCACTGTAATTAAAGGGCCCCTTCCAGAAACAAGAAAACAAAAATTCTACATTGAAGGATGAGGTAACTCAAAATCTAATCCTAATTAGTAGTGGAAAGTACTAATCATATTTAAAGGCCTAATGTCATTGTGTCAAAGTGAGGCATGAAAAAGTGATGTTAATGTTGCTCCATTGATTTTGGGTCCCAGGCTTAGGAGGGCTTTTTGTTTAATACTTTAATGAATCAAAACATCTTCTTGGAAAAATCTCTGAAAATGGCATCTCATTACCTTCCTGGGAATTGCCTATTGAGCACTCTTCTCCATCATTAAGTTAATGCTAAGGATCTTTAAGTGTCATCTTAATTTGACACTTGTCATAAGATAATTAGGCAAATTAAAATCAATGGTTCACTTCGTTCCTAGAAGCTTCTCTTAAGTGAAATCAATTTGTCGATTTTAATTTGTTCTCTTGTGCATTTTTCTAAATGCAGAGGACACAAGTAGCAATGTTTTTCTTTGATGGTATGAGCTAAGATTTTTTTAATATGTTGATTTTTATGTTCTCTATTGTAATTTAGCAGTAATTAAGCACCTGTTTTCTAAATCATTGCACAGTTGTATCTGAGTGGGGGAAAATACAGAAACTGAGGCAATGGGGTTGAGATCCCAATATAGAGCTTGCCAATGGCCTGCATATAGGGAGGGTATGTATGCTGTCTATCAGGACAAAGGACTTAACAACACCAGGTATATTCACTTCCCATCTGAGACCAACCCTAGGGATAATCCACTTTATGCAACCTATGCAAGGATCAGAGGATGCTAATTTAAGGTGGGCTACTGCATATAAATGGTCAATTTGGTGGGAGGTTAGTCAGCTGCCACAGGGATCATGGCTTGCTTAGAAAAAAAAAAAAAAATATATATATATATATATATTTGGGGTAGAGTGCCTGAGTTGATAGGGTTGTCTTGTGGACTGGATAAAGCTCATGGGGGAGACAAGAGAGAGAGACTTGAAAGATATGTGGCCTAGAGAGCAGAGGTTCAGGTAGCTACTGGGGCAACTGAAGGGTAGTGGACAAATAGGTCAGGAGTTTACAGAATAGTACAAAACTGAACGGGGCCATTGTGAAGACTACTCTTTGGTACTTGTGTAAGATAATTCTAAAGAAAGTGAAGATGAGAATGCTACCAGATTTAAAACTTAAATAATGAGTTCTTGGAAAAGAAATGTAGTGGTAAAAAGCTATTTTTTTAATAATATCTCAAGATGTTTGTGTATCTAGGGGGTTAGGGGGTTAGCTTTTGAAAACCCAAACATAACTTTCATATGCGACTTTGAAGTTCCTTCTAGGCCTCTGTTTATCATTTGTTGCAATTTTTTTTTAAATCTATGCATCTTTTGTAGCATTATCATGATTTGTGGGTAAAAAGGAGCCAAAAGCAAAACATTGAATTAAGAAAGAACACTAAGTTGTATTCTAAGGAATGCCGTGGGACTGTCTTTTCAGAGAACCCATTGGGTATGCACATGCCTTACAAAAAGCCCTTGAGTAGGTAGGGAAGGGAGGACCCTGCACAGACAGGGCTGCTGCAGCCTGTGGGGCTTTGGGCTGAAATGAGAGCAATGGCTTGTGAAGCTGCCCCAGTGAGTCACATGGCTTCTGCAGGAAAAAACAATTTAGGCGAACGGAGGCTTACCCAAATCAAAGAAGCTTCCAGTAACTCTGCTAATGCATAGAGAAGAAACCTCCTCAGCCTGCAGGCTACAAGTGCTATTAGTGCAAAATGGGACTTTCATAGCAATTTCTTATTCCAAAAATTTTGTTTCAGGTCTAGATGAGCTGACAAATTTGAAAACATTTTTTCAAATGAATTTTTAATAGATAGCTACTTTTTTTTTGAAAAGTGTGTGTGCGCAGCAAGCATACACAGTCCCTTTTGTTCACACATACATACTTATGTATATGCAGGAAGAAGCATCCAGACATTGATTTTTAATAAATGAATTCCCCAAAGGGACTGAGTTAAGGCCGTTATTTGTAGGAAGCCAGATATTGTGATATAAAAATTAATTTTTTTAATAATAAACACCGGGGGTGGTAGGGTTGGGAGGAAAAGTTACAGTGTGGTGTGTTTTCCACGACATTTACAGGACACAAGAAAAGCACTTAGACGCTGTAAGGCTGGGAACCATGCAGTGATAGCCACCAATGTGGGTGATCAAAAAGGGTCTTTGACGTTTACGAGGGTGGGTGCTCCCTGCACTGTCGGATTCCACATAAATGACATGCTTGTTGCAAAAATCTCACAGGAAGGAGGCTCTATTTAAACCAGCCATTCTCTTGTCCAAAAAAATAGCAAATAAAAAATAACCCAAAACAACACCCTTTCTCCCACACAACCATATGCAAAATCAGAATACTCTGGGACAAGCAGTTGTCTTCCAAATCTTCAGTTCCGTACAGAGAGCAACAGAGGAGAAGAGACGTTGGTGCCTTGGAGTCTTAGATACAAATGCAGGAACAGGAAGTGGCTTGCAACTGTGTACAAAATGTACATCCTCTTCCCTGGGGGCACTACCATATGTACCCGACCTCATCTTCTTTGTCATCATCCTCATCCTCATCATCCTCCGTCACAGACCGAATGTGCACCCTCAGCTTGCCCTCTTTGTCCTTTGGCCCCAGCTCCTGTTCATCGTCCAGGTCGTCCAGCAGGACCACAGAGCCACCACTGCCAAAATCCCCTGAGGTTTCCTGCTCCTCTTCTGGCATAAGAAGGAAAAGACTGAAGGTTAGTTTCTGTTTGTGCATTACAGCTTGGGTTGGGTTCCCCCTGCCTGTGACTTGACTTACAGGGGAACTTGTAGGACAAAGCCATGGAATTTACTCTCTGAATTTGGGAGCATGCCTGCCCATCTAGGGTCAGTCTCTGGGGCAAGAACGACAAATTTTGTTTTGGCATAAGCCCTAGAATGCTAGCGTGCCATTCCCTCCTTTGGAGCTTTATAATCCTGAATAAAAGGTGATAGCCACCTAAGATGTCCTAGGCCTGCAATATTATTCTAACTCTCAAAAACTGTTGTCTAATTGGTCATGGTCATGGTGAATTGCTGCCACTTTCAAAGTTGTGCTGTGCTATGCTGAGCTATGCTATGCAACACATGAGCTTGGGGAACTTAGGGTTGGTTGCTTTGTCTTCACTGTGAACTCATGGTAGAATTCAGCCATCTCTCAGTATGTGCCATGATCCTTACATCCAGAGGGCCGAAGTATCATCACCAGTCTTTGTGCTGCTGATGCAGAAGGCCTTACTCACCGCAGCTCACAGCGCCCTGTTTCCTGGAGCCAGCCAGCTCGTTCCCATATTTATCCACACACCAACACTGCCCTGTGCTGCCATGGCACTGTGTGGCTTTGTAATAGCCTTCTTCATTACACCGCGGTATGAAAGCCCCTGGGTGAACAAGAGGTCCGACTTTAATGCGAGCAACACAGAGATACAGGGCTAATATTATTCAAGACAGGGAGGAGAGCTCGCGCATCAGTCTGAATATTTGCCACAGGGCTGGAAGGAGAGAATGGAACCAGTTGGTTATTGCTTCATTAACATGATAAGAGCTAAATATTTAGGAGCCCAAATGCATTGAACTTCAAGGAGCTCACTTTTCAAAAAGGTTTACTTAATAATAGTTAATGTGTGTTAAATATTTATGTATATTTGGCATACTGAATTAAACCAGGCACATGATCATGCAATTTCTGATTGCCCCAAGTCTGAAGAGAGGTAATAGTGTTACCTTTTAGTAAATAGGAGATTGAGATACAGGAAAATTAAGTCTAGATTCACATCATTGACTCTGAATCCAAAGCAATGTTTCCCAAACTCCCAAGATGAAGAACTTGTTTTAAACTTCAAATCCATTAAAGACAGTATTTGCTCCAACCACATAAAATGACCTGTGAAATTCCTAGAAAAGATTCTGAATGTCTCCATGTCTGACTCATTGCAGAATATTAACAACCATTTCATTAACTACAGTCCATCCTCACGGCGCTCTTCGCAGAGCCATTCACTGTCCCTGCTCTCATGGCTCTACCCAAGTGGTAACCGCTAACGCCTTCCTTGCAGTAGTCCAGTGAGCTGCCCCAATAACACCAAAGGCATCAGTTTTCACAGATAGTGAAGTGACAAACGAGAACCATACTACTTATCTATTCCTTCTTTATTGGGGTTTTTGGGGAGTGGGGTATTGAAAATCAAACAAGGACCTCATGCTTGCTAGGCAGGCACTGTGTCACTGAGCTAAGCCCCCAGCCCTGCTTACTAGGTTTTTACTTTTCCCTTTGGTTACGACTGCTAATTTCATTTTAACAGCTAAGAAAATCAGTGTTTTATTCTTTGCATACCCTTAATGAATTACCAATATTATAAAACTGCTTTCATGAAGTAGTCATTTCCTGGTTAGGATACGCTGTAACTGTAATATTACCGCCTATAGTAGTAGGGGTTTTTGCAAATAGGTTACTAAGTGATAAAGGTTTGTAAGTTTTCTGTCCACGTTCCTCATTAATAACTTATTTAGACAGTTGCCCATCTTTTTTCTAGATATTTTATAAAAACAGAATGATCATTTCCTTGAAGGATCAACCCCTTCCCAGGGAAAAAAATATTCTTCGTCAGTTACCTGTTTGGAGTTTGAGATAAGCATTTTGATTAATTTTTAAGTTTTAATGTCTTGCTTTTGCGGCCAAAATTCAACATCTGGTAGTATTTTACCTCAACTTTCGTAGCTGTTATTAATTGGATTATGGCACTTGTCCTCATAATTTGGTCCACTGATTAGAAACACAATCTGAAAACTCCTTACAAAGGGATATTTTGGATTCAACCTCAAAAGTACTGCCAGAAACTTAGGGATTATGTCTATACTTTAATAAACCCTCCAAGGTAAAGTTTGAGAGGCTGACAACCACTCCCTTCCAACTTAGTTTCTGTCACTCCCATTCAAATTTGTGACAGAATTGGAGCCTTTGCACCTTGTACTATCATGGTTGTTTTGTGTAAAAAATCTTTATTATGTCATTATGTTTTTATTTCATTATTTTTTGTTTGATCCTAATAATTTTGGTTTATTGTGCTATAGTTTTTGAATTGAAAATCTAGTTAATTTAGTTTTAATCTTTATTTTTTCATAAATGCATTAGAATTTATATAGGTTCCTATAAGTTTCACTCTAGTTATTTTCATAGATTTGATACGCAGTGCTTTCAACTTCATTCCGCTTTAAATATTCTACAGTTACTTTACTTCCGGTTTGACCAATATTTACATAACCCCAAAGATCTATGGAACTTTGATAATCTCATTTTTAATTCTATTATTACTGTATTGTGGTCAGGGAATTTGATTTGTGATTATTTGAAATATGTGGAGTTTTTAATTTGTTGTTGTATACTGCAAGGCAGATATCCTTTGTGTGTGTGTGTGTGTGTGTGTGTGTGTGTGTGTGTCTTTGTCTGTGTCTGTGTTTGTTGTTTATTTTCTGAGACAAGGTCTTGCTGTGTATTTCAGGCTGGCCTTGAGTTCACAAGGCAGCCCAGGATGGTCTTGTCCTCAAAGTGTTCCTCCTGCCTCAGCTTCCCAAGTGCTGGGATTATGGGTGTTTACCACCACTCCTGGTTCTTGTGCGAGTTTGAAGTCTATACATTTAATGCCTACCTTCAGAACTACATATATAACTATAAATGCAAATTAGTCATGCTGCCCAATCCTTTTGTCCTTTTTGTCTACTTCAATTGTCAGTTTTAAGAAAAGATGATCTCTGAGTCTGACTGTGAATAGGATTGCTCCTCTTTGCAATTGTGTTATATTTTGTGTAAGTTAGGAGTATATCAATTTGTAGCATAACAGGAACATTTTGCCAAAATGATACTCTTGTATCATTTTATTTTTAAGTTTTTGCATTTCTCAGATCATAAAACAGTTATAAAAATATCATCTTTTCATTTCAACTTTCTGTGAACTGCTTAGGTGTAACTTATTTCAAAAATAACCTGTTGATTACTTCTATCTCATAACAAGTTTGATTACTCTTAGTTCTTTTTGGTACAGGGTCTGGCTATGCAGCTCATACAGTACTGGGGATTGAACCTGGGTCCTTATGCCTGCCAGGCAGGCTCTTAGACCACTGAGCAATCTCTCCAGCCCAGTTACTCTTATTTCTGCTAATATATTTGTTTTTCTTATTTATCATCATCACCATTTCTGCCTTTCATGGAAATTAAATTTTCGCCATGTGTTTCATTTGTACATTTAAATACTATATCCTATTTCGTTTGCATTTTCTTTTCTTACTAAATCAACTGTAAACACATTTTACTGCCTTTTTCTGATTGCCCCCAAGAATATATTATTATAATTCTAGCCTTCTATCAAAATACTTTTACACATCATACATATTTAGACTTAGCAGCATTTATTTTTCACAGTTGCAGCTGAATAATTCTAGGATTATTTATCTGGTAGAATAATCCTTTAGTGATATTTCAGTAAGCTAAATCTTACATGGTTTGAGAATAATTCTGTCACCACACTTGAACAATAGTTGGGGTAAGTTTAAAGTTTTAAGTTCAAAGTTACTTCCCTTAAGCACTTGGAAGTAGTATTTTCTCTTCTTTAATTAATGTTGTCAATAGAAAGTCTGATGTGAATCCGATTCTCGTTCAACAGTAGGTAATCTTTATTCATGATAGATTTAGTTTTGGATTTCCTGATGAGATATGTGAATATGATTCATCTTTGTGGGCTTCTTAGTTTGACCTACGTAATAATATACTGTATATCACGCTCCAAAAAATAAAGACTCCTGCTAAACACTGCAGTTTTGTTATCCCTACTTTTTCTCCCTCATGTCTTTTAGAATGACAGTGCTTTCAAATATGCCTTTTATTTTATGGGATGATAGGAGAGAAGAATTAGAGGGAGCAGATGTAAAATTTTGAACCAAGATTGATACCCAGATTTACCTGATCCTAAGATCTACTCTCAAACCCTTCAGGCTATTCAAAGATGACCACCTTCCCAGTCATGGGATGAGACTGTACACAGGACAGTGGCCCTGGGGACCGAGGCCACTCGTGCCCTAGAGATGTTTGTGATGCTGCCCCCTTACCTAGCCACTCCAGTCACAGTACACTGTCCCTCATCCTTCACTCTCAGGGAGCATGAGGGAATGAAAAGGGGGATGCTTTCAATAGCCTCCAGATCCAAAAGACAAACAAATGTGTGAACAGAGTCTCAGTCAAGTACTACAAAGAGTGAGAGCAATGAGAGCAGGGAAAACGCTGATCTCATCCCCTTGAGCTGTGGATTAAAAACAACAGGATTTAATAGACCAAAAATAAATAAAAATTGGGCTGAGCCCCTGGGTTGGTAAGAAGCAGGTGCTGCACTAAATCTGTAATTTAATAAGATTACTCTTACTAAGTATGTAGTAATTATAACAGATTATAATTTGTTGTTTCCTGTTTTATTATTTATTTGAATCTGAATATCCCTGAATACACAGTTATTATATTAGGAGATTTCCCCATGCAGACCATAATTTGTAAGCAAATAAATGGCATTTTTATGAGTCAGCCAGAGTAATCTCCATATGTGGGAGATGTGAAAAGACAAGGTAGGATTCTGGAAGGAAGAAGGTAGGCAATTCATTTATGTGTGCTGAAGCAAGTGGAAAATGAGACATCTCGGGTGACACACTTTACAAATGTCTCATTAATTACTAACTGATGAGGCAATTACCAGATAGCCACATACCATGGAACCATTTTTTAAAGTAAGATCTTAGGTACATCACTAATACACAAAATAGCATTTCATAGGCAGTACAAGTCCTTGCCCTGGAAAAACCTATGAAAGATGGATCTAGCCACTTTACCTCCAGGCTAAAGAGAAAGCTTTTTATATGAGAGGACTTAGGCCTTCAAAGTTGAAGATCATGATGATTTCTGAGTCTTTTCTGAATTGAACAGTGTATTGTCAGAAATCAAAAGTAGGAGGTAAGTAAATAAGTAAATCCAAAAGTACAGGAAAGGATGCACTTTGAGGAGAGCAAAAATTTTAGAAGAGAAATTGTCAGAATTCATAGACTGCCTGCACTTGGGAATAAGCAAGAAAAGTTGCCCATTTCCTTCAAGTAAATAGATAAACTTCTGAAATGGCAGGCTGCTTTAGGGAATGCACCTGCCTCTGAATGCTTAACAAGAATAATTCTGAATTATTGTGTTGCAGCTGTCAGCTCTTTTCAAAAAAGCAAGGAAGGCAAAGCAGACTCTTCAGAAAATGAGGTTTGCTAGTGTCTGCAATGGCCTGGTCTAAATGCCACCATTTCCCCTGAGTGCTGGAGCAAGGGTGACCAGAAGGAAACACTCAAGAGAGGCTGGCCCCTGTTGTCTCTACTGTGGCACAGACTTGCATGTTAGGGAAACACACCTCACTTGCTTTGGTCTTATTAGAGGAGGAGAGATGAGCGGGGTCTCAACAGACGGAACTATTTCTCCAGGGAGTCCGTGAAAACTGAGAAATACAGGACAGTGCAGACAACACTTCTAACCCATCTGATAAATTGAAGAGGAGGGCAGGGGACAGCTTGTCTTCCTCCTTGAATAGACAACTTGCTCTGAGAAATAAGGAAATGCTCAAAGTCACAGCCCTTCTACTGTTAGCAATGTGTTGACTCTGCTGAATGGCTTTATTTAAAAAGGAGAAAGTAGGGCCAAGGAGATAGCTCGTTGGCCTAAGTGCTTGCCTGGAAAGTGCAAGGACCTGGGTTTGACCCCCAGTACCACAGTGTCAGCCCTGTGCCAAGGCAGCCACCAAAACCAGGTGTGGTGGCATACGTCTGTAAACGGAGTTCTGGGGAGGCTGAGACAGGAGGATCACTATGAGTCTGAGCTGCATTGTGAGACTGTGTATCAAAGAAATAAATAAATAGGAGAAAACCAGGGTTTATTGAAGTCCATTATCAGGGAGGGTTAGTAACAAGAGATGGAAACTAGCCCTGCCTGAATTCAGGTCTAATCTCTGGCCTTTCTTCTTGCTGGTAAGGCAAGTGGTAGTTGCTAGCCAGACAGCTAAACCTCTGTTTATGTCTAGTTATCTGTAGCATATTACCAACTAGCTGCAGGAGTTTAGCCTGGGCTAAAAGGAGGTATTTCTTTCATGAGACACTGGCCCTAACTGAGTAACCATTGGAGTACTGAACATTAAAGGAGAAATGGATGGCTTAATTAGTTGTTTAAGTGGTGGCGAGCAATTATACTTACCCAACAGGCTTTTCCCCTTGCTCAGCTTTTGAATTCTGTTCATTTCATTCTGGCAAGGGAGACCTAAAAAATAATTTATGGAAGTCAGTTTCCAGATGGTATGGGATATAATAGGGACATAATCTCTAATGATTGACTTCACTTTTGATGTGAAATGAAGTCAATGACACACCTGGGAGTAGAACTGCTCCATATGTTGTTGTAGGTAACAAAGCAAATTCAGGCCATTAGTGTTACTAATTAAAAAAAAATAACCTCATGCCACAAGATACTTAAAATAGTACTCAGGATTTACTCCCATTGTGCAGGAAATTTCCTTCTTCTCACCAGCTTCAGCAGACACCATATTCAACTCGGTGACTTCCAACAGTTTCTCCTTTATATCAGAAAGACGGAAGTGGCTAAGCTTTTCTGTGAGCTGGAGATTGAAGCCAAGGCCTTTGTGTTCTGAAGCTACAGACCAACTAACTAACCAGAGGTGGCAATTACTTGATTTATTCTAGGTTTTGTGGTAGGAGAGAGAGGATTGAAAATACCCTAAGAAAATAAGCCACAGGTCTCCAGAGACCAATGGAAAGACACACAGGGATCTGGCATGTAGGAGAATGACTTTTATCTACATTTTCTCACCACCCCACAATGCACAGGGGAAACTCTCTTCACCCCTCTCAGCCAGGCCCTCTGCTGTAAGGTGTATATTGTATGGACCAGCATGGGACAGCTACAGGGAGCCACGTGGCTAAAAATGGGGTACAGGGAAGAACATGGCACTTTTGCCCCTTTAGAAAAGAGCTTGCTTCCATTTCAGACACAGTGACAAAAGACCTCATTAGGTCTTTAGAGACTAACCGTGATGTGTCTTTGCAAGTCTGGTATCTGTGGGCAGTTCTGCCGCTGGCTCATGGGCACCCTGCCATCGCAGCGTGTCCTGCTCTCTGTCTGACAGTTGTCTCATTCTGCCCTTTCTATGGGCCCCATACAAACAGTTGAAGAAAGCAGGTACCCATGACCTGTGGACTGTACTGAGGCCCCTGGCCCTGCTGCCTGTTCTGGAAGAGAAACTGGTTATAAAAGACATTTTCCAACTTCTGACTTTTAGATGCTTTTAGAGTAAAGGAAAAAGAATCAAACTGAAAATAACAACAGAAAAAGAGAAACAAATTCTGCATGTGATTATAAAAGGGAGCATTTACTATGACAGCTACCCTTTGCTGAATTGCTGGGAGGTATCAGGCACTGTTCTAGAAATTCATGTGTCTTTAGTCTTCACAAGCGCCATATAAAATAGGTACCAATGATATCCCTATTTTGCAAGTGGAAATTTTCTTATTTGTAACTATGCAGAAAAAGAAATTATAGCTGTTTAGAATACTCCTTCTACAAAAGGAGAAAAAGTAAAATCATAAAAGCATGGGGTTAGACAGTTCACGGGGAAGCAAGTTTCTAATTTAAGTGCCTTAAAACTGTTGAATAGAAATTTTTAAAACTCTACCCATTCAAAGGTAAGGAAAAATTAATTCAACTAAATTTACTCGAGAAAACTCCAGATGAAAATTTTATGATACGGTGTTTGTTGTTGAGCAGGTGACAATGATTTCCATGGATTCCTCAAACCAGTTGAAGATTCCAATGAAAAACACATTGTGTAAGACTAGAGTTGAATGCCCAGTATCGCGGGCTCAGGGAGAAAACAATGCTGAAAGAAGAAAGTGGGCAGTGAAGAAACAAGGCATCGCCAAGACAGTAAGACTTATAGGAAAGCCTCAGTGTTGGGGTTCCCGAGAAAAGACTGATCAGATGGAGCACTAAGGTTTTCAAAGACATAAAAGGTTTTCTGAACTTAAAGGCATTGGTAATGAAGTTCCAAGAAGCATAACATATCTTAGGAAAAGGGACAGTGACACCAGCTAAACAAGATTAAGAGCAGGGAAGAGAACAACGAGCATCTAACAGCAAGGATGAAGAATATGAGAGAAACCCACAGTTTAAAAAGGAGAAGCGAAACACTGCAATGAATAGCTATGCTAAACAAATACAGGTGTCGTGCACAACCATGCCCCAGTGAAGAACCCTGGCTTCCCAGAGCAGTTGCAGAAAGGGCAGCCTGTCCTGAGGGTCAGCCTGGCACGGTGACCAGCTCTATGGCTTGACTAAGGCTGTGTCGCCTCCCCCTGGCACTGCACCTAGAGATGCATCGTTAAAACTCAGGCTCTGTGCTTTATGAAACCCAGTAAATGCACATGCACATGCACGCACACACAGATGCACACACAGACACACACAAAAAAAATTAGCTAAATTAAAGCCTAAAGCTATCATTAAGCTTAATGCTGTATCACTAAAATATTTATTAAAAAATACAAAATGTAGGTATTGTTTAACATCAATTTATAGTTACTAGATGAGATGATATAATTAGAAAACAGAAAGAAGTGAGGTAGAAAAATGGAAAAGGAAAAGAAAAAATGATCTCTATTTGCAGATGATATGGCTGCACACCTGAAAACGCAAGAAAACCAACCAGCATAACTTATCAGCAAAATGAGAATTTAATAAAGTCGTTGAAAACAAACTTAATATTGAAGGAACCACTAGTGAGAAAGTATAATGGAAAGCCAGTTCCTTTCCAAGGGTTCTAATCACACAAGGGAAATGCAATATGTGTGTGAACAAAACTTGAAAATGTAACACGGTTGAAAGACAAACACTGTTCTAAGATAAAAGAACTCAGTGTGTATACCTAGTACGAACTTACTTTTACTTGGGGGGAAAAACCAAATGATTCCAAAGTTCACAGAGGAAGAAAAACATTAATATCCAGAAAAAAATTCTGCCAAAGAAAGAATAGCAAGAAAGAATGGGCCTAGCTGACACGAGACATACTATATAACAACTGTCATCTAAATGTCTAGAAATGATCTATGAATACTAAGAGAAACATGACAGACTATTTGGGAAACTGCATAAGAGGGCTTGGGTGCACCCATGGGGGTGCATTTGCAATGACAGATGGCATTTTAGGTTGATGGAAGGTAAGTTTGTCAATAAATGAGAGAAAGACGAGTAGATACTCATTTCCAGGGCTGGAACCTTTCTTGTGTATATATACACAAAATCCTACAGTGATACAAAATGTGAACAATAACAACTAAAGATATTAAGAAATACATAAGAAAATTGCTTTACTATCTGAAGTGAGAAATGCCTTTCTACGCTTAATGAAAGCTTTATAGCTTCAAATAAGCCAGAGAATTTTTAAAAAATGAAGGCATTTAATTTTCTTAAAATTTAAAATATGTCCCTAGTAGAAAGTATACAAATTTTAAAATAGGGGAAATATTTGTCATATCTAATACTATTGAAGTTTCAATTTTCTTACTACAGAATTTCTTACTAAAGCAAGAGTCAGGAAAACTCAAAGCACAAAGAACATATAGACATTTCAAAGAAAGCCAATTATGTCAAAGAGGAGTAAAAGTGTTCAACCTACAGGGTAAGAGAAACTAAATAAAGCCTATTGATAAACAATGATTATAAAGTTTCACAATGCCATGGAAAAATAGGTATTCTCAGATATTTTTGGTAAGAGTGAAAAACTAGTAAAATTTTGGAGCACAAGTTGGGGAGAGCACTCAGATTTAATGGCGCACTTGCTTCCCGATCTTGGTAGTTCTGTTCCAGGACCACGCGTACAATGCTGTAAATGTTCACACGCGCACTCACTGTTCAAGTCCTGTCCTCTCGTCGTGCTGACACTCCGGTATGTGCTTGTACTATCATGCATGCATCTGCAATCTAAGTACTACCAGTAACTTGCCTCCTTTCTTACGGGTGAGGCCTTCCAGCTCTCCTTGGTACCGGGTTCCTGACCAATTCTAGACCAGATTGTTTCAAATATTGGGATTAGATTTCAAATGCAAGCCAGTTTCTTCTGATCCCTTGAGCTGTGGACTGTCACTCTTGGGCACAATCCCCAGAAAGCTGAGACAGATGGCTAGAAATCCAGGCCCATGGTGACCACAGGAAGTCAGAGCACCTCCCAAGGACTCCTGCGAATCTTCCTGTTCCTACTCTATCTCTATAGGATGACTGTCCTATCTGACTTTGGCTTATCCATCCACATATTCCCCCAAATGTTAAATATAAATCTATAGACAAGTACCTTTCTCTAAGGGGAACATGGAACATTTGTGTGACAATGGGAATTATGATACTCTTACATTTGTGCAGTATTTTTCACACTGTAAATCTCAAAATGGCCTTGAGAATTATATGGGGAAGGTTTCTGTGTACCCATTTTATAGATGAAACTATTGAGACACTATATAGTTGGTATATTTTTCCAAGCGAAGGAACAACTCAAACACTCCTTAATTATATACTTAGTTTTCTAATATACCATGTCAAAAGTAAAGCTATATTAGGAGAAAGAAACCTATAGGTATACCATTAAATGGGTTGAATTCTTTATTCTCCAGCTGTTCTCTGCACTGTTCATTGGTGCCTCCTTGCTGTATACTAAGTAGGCCTCTGGAGCCCAGCTGGCCACCTGGGCTCTGAGTCCCAGCTCTTCCTGGCCTTACCTCCAGGCTTCTGGAAGCAGTAGCACCACTCATTGTTAGAGAGCTTGCCATCCTTGAACGAGTCACAGGAGTTGAAAAGAGGCTTGATGCACGGCTCATACTTGTCCAGGTAAATGGCATTGATCTCTGCGTGGTCCAGCAGGAGGTCGTAGTTCATGTCCAGCTTGTTGAACATCCAGCCCAGGGAGTCCTTGCAGATGGGCAGGATGCTGGTGTCAAACCCTGTGGAGAAAGAGCCCATCTCAGCCACCTGGCCTGAACTGTGCCACCCTGCACTGGCCAGCTTCCTGCCCTCAGGAGGGATCCTTCCCTTGCTGCCTTGCCTGAACAGAGTCTCAGTGGCATGCTAGAAGATTTTGTTGTTTATTAAACTAAACATATTAAAATGCACAAAAGTCAGTATGTGAGAAAAACATGTTCTAAAGGGAACAAATCCCCAAAGCTCATCTTGGTGCTGTGAGTACAGTTTCATTATCTAGACTTGCTTAAAGTAGGTATGCTTAAAAGACAAAATACAGCATGGTGAGTAAGAAATGTAAATTATCCCAAGAGCTATGCTTGGGGAGGTGAAAACAAAAGGATGCATAAAAATACCAGTGAAATAAAACTATGCAAAAAAAAAAAAAAAAAGAAATAAAACTATGCAGCACAATCCAGAAGTCCCAATTGTATCTCAGAGGACTGTTAAATCCAAACAGTCTGCACATTAATGGCAAGAGCCAGGTGCTGCTTCTGTCTCCATCCTTCTTTGCTGTAATCCCCTAAAGAGATGCATGAGATGGAACCCAGATGAACTAAGACAATAATTTCTTTTTCATTTTCCCTTAGGAGGGGAAATAGCTTTTTTAAAGAATTATTTTTTTCCAAAATAGAAACTATGCCTTTTGTGCGGGGGAGATAGTGCAGCAGCATAAGCGCCTGTCCCAAGTTCAATCCCTGGTACCACCAAAACTACAACAAAGAAACTCAAACCTTTCAATGGTAACACCTAGTTCGACACCCAAGGTACTGAGATGACTACAAACCCCAGGGAAGGCACAGCCCAAATCTAAAATTTACTTTTCTTTCAGAGTGAACAGCATAGTACAGTCTTGGGTTCCTCTGTAAACTGGATTTGTAGGACTGATTTTCCTGGAATACTGATGACAAAAGTTAACTTTTGTGTTGCTGTATATACAGCACTCTTCTTTTTTTTCTTTTAGAGAAGGGTCTGCAGGGTGTTCAGGGTCACACTACTAGATGGGACTCGGACTGGTAGTGATCCGCCTGTTTACAGCTACCTAAGAGCTGGGATTACCAGCATGCACCACCACTCCCAGTCTCAACTGCCTTCTCATTGTGCCCCAGGGGTGGGGCTGGCACCACAGGCCCTGGGGATTGAACCCTTGGTCCCTGCGCCTGCTTGTACAGCACCTTTCTGAGTACTTTATTATCAATTATCTCACTAAATCAAATGCTACCATATGATCTCCACTTCACAGATCTGAAGGTCCAGAGCTCAAGTTGCTCGTTCCAAGTTGTACAGCTCTAACACTGGGATACTAACTGAGAGAACCCAGTTCTGAGTCAATACACTTGGTGCCTCTTCTCAGTGCCGGGCTCCCTTCCACCTTAATGGAGCTTCCCATACTGAGGATGAGCGATGAGCAGCAGGTTAGGGTGCATGTTGGGGTAGCTAGGGAGAGAGGGCAACACAGTGTCTGCCTTGGGCAGTCATGATGGGGTTGCTGGCCCAATCCCATAGTTCCTCTGCACAGCCTGGCCATCAGGTTCCTATGTTTGCTGCCAGGAACCCCTATCTGATCATCAGTATATAAGATGCAGCAAAGTGTGCCCACCCTGCCTACAGCAGTGCCTTATGCAGAAGGGACTTCACTGTCCAGAGGCAGGACCTCCTCTGAGCTCTTAGCAGCAGCCTGTGCTTTCCCTCATGACTGAGGCTTGTTAATATGATCTAAACTCTGCACAGACAGACTCCCTTGCTCCCTTCTGGAGCCTCAGCCATGACAGCCACGTAATATTGATAGATATATCTGTTGTGAGAAGTTTTCTAGTTACCTTGGAGTTAACCCTTTCCAATATAAAATATGTGCATTTTAAAATGTATTCATTTTAATAATTGAGAACTCAGTTTTTAAAAATCCCCCACATTCCAAAAGGGGCTATGGGACATAAGGTGGCCCTTTATTTCACTAAATGCCACGACTGCAGACAGTCTCTGTGCCAATGAGGTCCTTAGGCACTATTATATACTTGTACATAAATATATAATTGGATTCAATTTTATATGATATTAACATTTTTTTATATACAGAGGAGTTTACTGCTGATGGCCAGAAAGGAGTGCCAAGCTAGTCCTTCGTCAGAAGGTCACGATACACTTCCCTCACTCAAAAGGGTCTAGAATAGGATGCCTACGACTCCGGGGCCTCCCAAGTGCAAGACTGAGCGGGTTTCAGCTCTTTCTTTCAGAACCCAGGGGGATAAAACTGTCATTCTCCGCGTTGGCCTTGAGGGCTTACTGAGCGCCATTCCTTATGTTTCCTTCCTTCCACTCGCTTGAGGACATCAAACCAAGAGCCTCTTGGGGGACTCAATTTGCTCCTGGCCAAACAAGTCATTGCAGGCTCCTCAGCTGTCTGCAGTAGGAGCCTCTGGGGACAGCAGGCTCAAGGAGCTGCTCTCCTCCCATCAATCAGCTCACTGCTGAAAGGCTTTTCAGAAAACTCCAGGGCTGGTCAGCTTCTGGAGGACCCAGGGAAAATGTTTCTCTACCACCTGTGAATTAATTGTCTATAACCTCCCGAGGAACCTCTAGCAAGAGTGGAAAGCAAAAAGCTATCTTGCTTTGCCTTTCCTCCAGACAGCATCCCTGAGAACCACTCTAAGAACACCAGCTCCCAGGAAGCAATCGCTACCTGCTTCCACACCTGCCACCCTTCAGTGTTTGCTTTCATTTTCCTATATTTATTTTAATCCCCATGACTCGATGTTTGCAGTACATAATAATTACGTTCACTGTGCAGACTAGTATAGGTACATAAGACATCTTAATTTTTTTTTTTACTTCTTTTCCCCATTCCTTTATCCCCCCCCCCTTTTAAGGGAAAAAAATCAAGCATTTAGAGTAATTGCCCCCTATATAAGTATTCTCCACTGGTATCTCTTAAATGCTAGAAGCAGCAAATAACAACCAAAAAGGTAAAGGATTTTTGTTTTCTTTTGGTTTTGTCTCACTGTGTTGTCCAGACTGGTCTCAAACACTTGAGCTCCTCCTGTTTCAGCTTGCTGAGAAGTTGGGACTATAGGAATATACCTTGCTTTACCAAGTATAGAAGTATATCTGGTTGGAGATCATTTTTATTCTCGTTAAAAACTAGTGATGATCATACTGACTTTAGATGCTGATGATGTACTTTCTTATATCTACTTAGAGAAATTCCACCCAAACAAGTGTGGGATCAGGAATGGGACAAAATACTTTGTTTTAAACAATATGTTTTGTATTTTGGCCAAGTAACATGAAAATGCTACAGCGTATGGAATGTGGCAGAACCACATGTATTTAAGTGAGGATGTCGATCAGTAATCGTTCTCTGCCTGTTGGACCACAAGGTGGAGAAGCCCACTACTCACCACCTTGAAGTTCAGTGCATGGACAGCCCCTGTCAGAGTGCCAGGGCAAGACCCATGAGTCTCCTCTCCAGCCGCTGACTGGAGAGATTTCTGCCCCTTCGGTGGCTGAGAACAGTGGTACCTCTCAGAGCTGGAGGCATGCTAATGGTAAGGAAGGGGGCGAGTGGCCAGGACTTTATAGAGAAATCAAAATGCATTGGATAGTATGCACAAATCTGTATCATCAAAGATGTTTGCCCCAGTGTTGTTTATATCACTAAACATTAGCAGCAACATAAATGGTCCCCAAGCATAAGTCTACTCAAATAGTTGTACCCATACATTAGAGTTCTACATAGCACTTACAAAGCAGAGTGCTACTCAATGGAAGATAGTCATAGTTGCAAATAAAGGATTATAAAACAGTCTGTTAAGTGAGAACCAAATTTTATAATTATAGGTAAATCAATTTTTATATATGAAGAAGAAAACACTTCAAAATATATATTATAGCATGCTTACATTTGTTAAAATAGTGGCATTTTATAGTTTTCTATAACATTAATGTATTTTATATATAATTTAAATTTTAA